TATAAATTTGTTTGCTCACGCAAATCTTGCGAAACGCAATAATTTAAGTTTATATAAAATCTACTTTCTCACATAATGTTACGAAATACAATAATTATTTGAAAGATATCAATTCAGAATTTTATTGATTATTGATAGACTTGACAGATAGCTGTGAATGTCGCGAACTAATCTGCGTTGTTTGTTCGAGCGACTTACTTTTTCCAACTTGTTTTTTCCCAATCAGGTTAACGACATGCGGATTTCATGTGGAATATCCCTTTTGATGGTCCACGATCTTTGAGCACTTTAAGGGTGTCATTTTGAAAGCGGAAGTTAGGTATGATAATGATTGATTGAAATATAGCTCCCAATAAGGGATACGAAAGGGTCGCGCTATTGGTGAAAGAGGTCCGCATCCAAAGCGGCACAATCGTCGGTGCCCCCGCCTCATCCCTGAGTCCCCCTGGGCCTGGGCAGGGCCCCACTATAAAAGCATACTGCGTCGCCCCTCGAACACGTAGTGTTTCCCCGTGTAGCGTACAAGAAAACCTATCCTCACACACCATGAAGTTCTTCGTAAGTTTCTCCTCGCAAGTATATAATATGAGGAAGTAAAAGTTAATCGTTGTGGGCCCAAGAATAATCCACTTATGATTGTTCGTGGGAATTCCATTGTGCGGAGTTGCATTAGTTCTGCATTTGTCCAATATTTCTGCTATATTTGTTTTGCATTATATAATGTTTTAATAAATATAATCATTTATATATAAACAGGTTATAAATTATATATATATGATTTATAATATAAATATTAATCAATTATTTAAGTATTGTGCAAATTTATATAAAATATTGATAATTATTTTTAATTACATATCTCAATGATATGAAAAAATTGTTATACTTTATAACAATATTTTTATTATTATAAAGAGAAAATTTTCCATTACATTTGATACTGAAAATAAGTATTAGATAGTTAAAACGTGTATATATATATATAATTAATCCATCGTAATTTTTATTATATTATAATGAAACATATTTTGTAAATGTATTTTATTATATATTATTATTGTATATTAAATCGCATTGTATTACGTTATTGTATTGTTGCAGATTGTCTTGATCGCCCTTGTGGCAGTCGCTAGTGCCGGATATATTGGTCATGGTCAAGTAAGTACTTTATAATTGTCATTTCATTTATATTATTTACATTTAAATTTTATAATTTATATTTACATTATTTTTCTTTAAATGTGAGTATGCAATAGTAACACTCATTTTATTATAATACAGATTATTTGTTATCGCTTCACTATTGTGATTAATCAAACTTTAATTATTCGATTCTTATTAACTAGTTTTTAATTATTATTAATTTTTAGCGACTTTCGACTATTCTTTCTTCTTAAATAACTAAACATTCTTTGTTACCTGATTAAGATTCGAGCGATTCATTGAGGAAACTGTATTTTAACAAGATATTCGTCTGTGATTACCATTTCTTTTTAATCAGCTATCTATGAAAAAATCATTTATTACTCTTTAATTTGCAAATTAATTTTTCAAAAAGCCGTTGTCATCGTCAATCGTTGTTCATCAAGCATGATTGATACGTCGTCTAACTGTGCTTTTTATATTCTAATATTTCAATAAGAACTCAAACTTCTTATATTCTATTTCTCTATAACTTTTATTATATCCATAAATGTGTATTTTATATTTAGTAACAAAGTGTTACTTGATCTTTCTTCTTTTCTCCATGGATGTTCCTGCATCGATTATTCTTCTCACTTTTACTCTTCGCAATTCTCTCAACTTACGTGTGATAACTCCTCATTTTTTTTTTTTAAATCATCGTCGATTGATCAGCATCATGCGAAGCACGAAGGCTCGTTCTATTTTTCTTCTCGACGACCGAGTAACTTTGGACGTACTCGGCGGGAAAGTAACTTCACGTAACACCGATCGATTAAGGCGATCGATTCCGATCATATGAAAGAGACTGTTTGACGTATCTCAGATCTCGGAGCCATGGGTGTCTCCTGTGGTGCACGCATCTCCAGTGGTGCATGCCGCCCCGGCGGTGCATGCACCCCAACCCTGGGTCGTGCCCGCCCCTAAATACGTCAAGGTCGCTGCTCCCGCAGCACATGCCAAGGTAATGGTGGTAGCAAATTGTCACCGAGAGACCGATTCCAGATTACACATCAGGCGATTGGTATTTAATTGCCCTCGTGGCTTTAGCGGGATACCAAGTAGATAAAATAATTTATCATGTGGTAAGGTAATATAAAATGCTAGCAGGCAAATATTAAAAATAAAGTAAGCCATGATAACGGCGATAGAGAAATAAATAAAGCCGACTTATAAACAAAGTCATTTAGCATTTGACAGTAAGTCAAGTGAATGAGATGCATTTTTAATTTACTTTTGTGAATTCGATGAATTGAAACAACATGTGAATGAATATTAATTATTAATTGTCGCGTAACAGGAGTCAGAAAAAATTCGCTACGTAATAAGACATTGATATATTATGCCTTACGTGTGTAAAACGCAAGATATCTAAGGCGATAGTAACCGCACTTACGTAATTACGAATGATAGATAAATAATTACAGTTTTCGGAAAATGTCAAATGAGAAACCGACCAGAAACTGTTATTTCATGTCGATTGCGCCTTCCCTTCCGTTTAATGACCGGTCGATTTCTAATGTTATATTACGTTGCAAGATCTGATCGCTAATTACGTGTCTTTCTTGCTTTGCGTTGCAACTAAACCGGCAACGGAATAGATATCCGCTATCGTTAGTTAATTGGATTTCCTACTTAATCGGAGACTTATAAAGAGGCCATGACGAAATCCCAGCTCAATTGCACCGAAATAATCGGTGTAATTCGTTTATGTAACGACTTGTTCCGCCTCCAAATCTCATGTTGCATAATTAATGATAAGCTGGTTTATCTTTGTTCTGTTCGTTTTCATATTACTTAGAAATCTGGTAGTGAGATTATAAAACCGGTATGTTGTTGCAAAAGTAAAATCTCTTTTAAAATTTTTACGTTTCTATTCAATTATTTGATTATTAATTATTTATTTTATTATAATTTTATTAAGTAAATGTTTCTTAAATTATGTTTCTATACATTTCTATAAAAGTTATTTTTATTATTATAATTAATAATTTAATAATTATTAACTTTCTAATTAGCACTTATCTCTTTGATATTGATACTGATTGATTATTAAGCATAAATTGCTTTTGTTTTAATCGCGATATTGTTTCATAAAACAAAATAATTTATTTCTAGATTCAATATTTTATAAATTGATCATCTTTTGTTATAAACGCAATAGAAAAAATTCATCATTTATAATACAAATATAATACAAATATAATATCAGTATATAACGTTTTTCAATTTTAACACTTTATTTGATACAAATGTCATATTATTTTTATTATTTAATTCTGCATTGCGTAATTCTGCTTTGCATAATTACTTTTATACCTTCACGAAAGCAGCATTTAGCGCATCTAAATATTCTGTTAAAGTGAATTGTTTTTACTTATAGGAAACTTACTTCGCACCCTTCGTTAACGGAGCTGGCCATCAGCCTCTCGTCCCCGGCCCACATCCGAGACCCATAAGCTACAAGGGAAATGAACATACCACTAGAATACATTACAGCGGTGGTAATGTTGGCCATCCACATCTCGTCGGCGTCGAGCATTACGTAGGTGTTCCTGAGCCCAGCATCGCCGTCGTCAAGGCTGGAGGACATGGCTGGTAAAAAGGATCTCGTCTAACGACGCCCCGATTGACTAAATCCGTTGATCCAGAAGTGGTCCATCCCGAAAAAGCAGTCATCCGAAATCTTTTGAATCATAATGACAGCAGACAATCCCGTCGACGATACATCTGATTTCTCGCAAATCTAAATAATTCTCATTGGATAGGAAACAAACGAAATAAGGGCTAGGATCATTAAGGATCGTCAAAATCAGCTTCTCCAAAGAGTTTTTGAGAGCCTTACGAGAGCCTTACGAAAATCATGGACTACCCACGGATCGCAGACCAGGCAGCCAAACTTGAAAGATAAATTCGTCTTGATTTTACCTTAGAGCAACATATGACACGACGCCTTACACAAATACACATGGACACGATCATTCGCGTCTTTTTATGTTTTTTTTTCCATCTTTTCTTGTCCCAAACATCAAAATTCTCGTGCGGCGATTGTGATAATGAAGAAGACATCACAACATCTGAGAGAGCGTTTCCCCTTTTCCCTCCCATTTTTCTTTGTCCGCAGCAACACTTTTATTTATTTTCTAATAAAAGTTGATTTGTATACGTCTTGTGATAAACCAGGAATTATGTTGTTATTCTTTATTCGATTACCCAATCCTTTCCGTTCGCTTTTTCTTCATTTTTATGCGTCATTTTTTAAAACTTTACGCTTCACTCGTTAATAATTCTAAGATTTTTTCTAGATTCTTTTTCTAGATTTTTTTAATTTCTAGATTTTTTTTGCATTTTTTTTCTTTTTTCTTCTGCTCTTAAAAGGAGAGATTAGTTACAACCGCTCGATTGGAATAAATAAATTACAAAATGATTACGTATAGAACGTATGCAAAATAACAAATGTGTAATGTGTTATTAAATGAGTACACGCTATATCGTTTTATGATTTTCCTTTTAGCTTTTTACGGACGAGCCGCATTCTCAAAGTCTCCAAGATCACTCAAGTGTAAAAAGTATAAGTACTTTACCAGTAAATATTCTGTGACGAGGTTACATTTAAATGTCTGTGAAAGTTCGCATGTACTAGCTGTGAACTAGGTCATTTTGTATACAGAATTAATTATTATTCAAGTCAATTATTAGTAATAGAGATTATAGGCAATCCATTTTGATAAAACGCAGACGGGGTTAATGCAATTGTAATTCATTAATTGCTGTTATAGATTAATTTAATAATGTATGTGATATATAATCTAGTGAATCTCGATATGTAGGTAGTGAATCTCGATATATAGATATTATTATATCAAATGTAAAAAAATAAACAACTTATAACAAATAACTTAATAAACAAATTTACATTGTGGGAGCATCCATTGGATATGTCAGTAGTAAAAGTCTATCTTTAAAAGAACATAATGTCGTTTCTTTACTTTTCAATTTTATTTATTCTCAATTTTTATTTTATTAACTAAGATTTATTCTCAATTTTTGTTTTGTTAATTAAATTATTATATATATTATAAATTATGTAATTCATATATATATATATATAAATGTTTTTTAAATACATCTAATAAATGAGCAAATACAAATTAATCTATAGTAAAAAAAATGTTATAATTGAAATATTAATAAAATATAATGAAACAATGTTTTATAGTTTACATCATAATTGTTTAAAATAAGATATAAGATATACGATATTAACAATAATTTTACGCAATAAATTTAACACAACAGTAAAAATAATAAAAATCATTCAACAATGTGTAATATCGTTTTTTTTAATAAAATTAAAAAAGAAACAAAGATTGAATATATATGAAATTTATGAAATTTATTTATTATATATGAATATATATGAATTATATGAAATTTATTTATTATATATGATATGTATGAAATATATGAAATTTGTTTAAAAAACATATGAAATATATGAAATTTTTTTAAAAAGACATATAAAACATGTGAACATATATAAAATACATATATAAAATTAAAAAAAAAACAAAGACTAAATATATTTTATAGTTAGATTATAATTATTGTAGAATTAATTTAAAATTTTTTTGAAAATTTAAGATATGCATATATGAATTGGTAAGTCTACTTTTATAGCTTAAGATATATCAAGGTAATAATTTTTTTACGCATTCTTATAGTCAGTGTCGATTTAATTATTATAATTTAATGTCGCAATTTATCATATCGTTTATTATTCAAGGCAGAGTAGCCTATTTTACTTCACGTTCACATTCACGTTCACCGATTATTGGAACAAACTAGATGAACGTCGCGTCTCTTTGATGGTCCATATTTCACGATTTCAAGCATCAGCATCTTTGAGGGTGGTGCCGCCTTGATATCGAAAATATCGGAAGCGTGACAAGGCGTGACGTCGCGGTTGGGCGGGCAGCTAACAAGGGGGCCCGAAAGGGTGTCGGTCTCATGGTTTAGTGAAAGGGGTCCGTGTGACGTGTAACGTCGTGCCCCCGTCTGATGCCCTGAGAGTGGGCTTGGACTTGGGCAGGGACTTGCTATAAAAGCTGTCGCGTTGCCCCTTGAACACATAGTGTTTGCTCGCATAACACAAGAAAAACTACTGCTCGCCGCCATGAAGTTGTTCGTAAGTCCCCCTTCACTCATGACGGCTTTATCCCGCCTCAATTTTTTAATTATTATCTTCATTTTATGTGTTTTAATTGCATGTGTTTTAATTGCGAAAGTATAG